TATGTAGACATACATATACATACATATATATACACATATATACCTACTAACCACTGCAAGCTCTTATTGATTCTTGGTTTAATTGGCATTGCTTGTTTTTTGAAACTGAAACTGAATAATTCTTATTTTGTTTCTTTTGAATTTATAGATTTTAGATTTCTGAACGCAACATGAATATGTCATATAACATCCTGACAATTAATTCCATCATTTGTTTTTTTCTTAAGTAAGCTCTTCACTCTGTCTTAGGACAGAGCATATTTTACATTTAAAATAGTTAAAATTGTTTTTGACCTTTTCGTGTACAGCATGTAAAATCCTTAACATTGTTAAGTTTCATTTTGTTTTTCATTTTGTGCACCTTTTCTTGATTTAGAAATTACATCTTTGCAATTTTGTTAGGTGCTCTGTAATAAATCTGACTTATATGTGAACGATTTTCTTGAGGAAGTCATTTTCACTAATGCAGTGATGATTTCTCACTGATATCTGTATTGTGAAATCTACAAAACTGTACAGGTGCTGAATGGTGCAAGGAGTTTAGGTTGTATGAATTCTACAGCACTGGTTAAGAGCTTGGCTGCTAACCAAAAGGTCAGCAGTTTGAATCCACCAGCCACTCCTTGTAAACCCTATGAGGCAGTTCTACTCTGTCCTGTAGGTTCACTATAAGTCAGAATTGACTCAACAGCAATGAGTTTAGTTTTTTGGTTATAATAAATTTTGCCATATTCAACCACTGTTTCTCTTAGTTAATCACTTGAGGAATAGTTAATTTAAACAACTCATTTTTTTTCAGCTTTGATGCACCTGTAATAGATCTAAAATTATTAGCCTACCTATGCCCTCGTTCCCATCTCTACATGTATTATTTTTATAATTCTATATTTTACTTCTCTTTAGATATTACATCAACTACTCTTTTAGAAGGATCCCTCGTGGTGCAGTGGTTAAGCCTTGGCTGCTATCAAAAGGTCGGCAGTTTGAACCCACCAGCAGTTCCACAGGAGAAAGATGTGGCAGTCTTCTTCAGTAAAAGATTACAGCCTTGGAAACCCTATGGGGCCTTTTTACTTGTCTTATAGGGGTGCTATGAGTGAAAATCGACCACACAGCAATAGTCTTTAGCTTATAAAAAGGATCCCTGGTGAGGTAAGGGTTAAGCACCTGGCTGCCAAATGGAAGCTTGGCAGTTAGAAGCCATCCCACTGATCCCAGGGAGAAAGACCTGAAGATCTGTTGCAGTAAAGATTACAGCCTAGAAAATCCAATGGGACAGTTCTACTCTGTCACACTGGGTCGCTATGAGTCGAAATAGACTCGGCAGCTGCTGTAGGGTTGTTATGAGTCAGAACTGAGTTGACAGCAATGAGTTTGGTTTGGGGTATGTTTATGCTCTTCTAGAAGTAACCCCGTAATTAGCTCCTTGTATAAATTCAACTATTTATTAAAAGCCTTTAAGTTACATTCAGGCCCACAGCATGTTCAAGTCTCTTCCAAATTTATCTTAAACCACTAGTCAGCACCATGCCTATTTGTGAAACATAAGAAAGGATGCTTGCTATTGCATTATTCAATTTTTTTTAGACATTCTGGTCAATGCAGTGACATGTGAAACAAATAACAAGTATCACTTTTTAAATGGGGTTCAATTTATTACTACATGTGATTTTTTAAAAATAGAACACTAAAGATTAATTGAAAACTTTTAAAATTCATAGGAAGATTCAGTATAAGAAACACAAAAGCCAATGTCTATCATTTATACCACCAAACCTGTTGCCGTAGAGTCAATTTTGATAGTACCAATAACCAATTAAAGCGTAATACAAACAGGTAAAAATATTCTGCTCACAATAGAAACAGGGACATAAAATAGAGCCAACAAGAAATTCATGGAATTATTATGAATAAAATCACAAAACTTAATTAAGAGATACCAAAGAAAAGTAGAATAAATGGAGAGGGAATAAAGAACATTACAGATAGATAAATTGTTCCCCAATTGAATTTATTAGTTTAACTCTATTTCAATCAAAATCCCCCAAAAATTGTTCTTGGAACTTGGCAAAATTATCTGAAGGTTCATCTGGAAGTATAAATAGGTGAGAATAGCTAAAGGAGAAAATTGAAAACAAAGTAGTCGAAGGCAGGGGTTTCTTACATGAACAGCTAATAAACCGAAGGTGACATTCATGCAAGATAGACTATGATGCCCAGAAAAAAGAACCTAGTATACATAAGAAGAGTATCCTAAAGAAAACAATGTAATGAGATGCACTGTTTATAAAATTTTGCTGGTAAAAGTGGTTAAATGAAAAAGCAAAACAAAAATTCTACCTATTACACTATGAAGTAGCATAAGGCTAGTAGTCCCCCAGGTGTAGTCTCTCCTAAGTTTCACTACCAGTGAATATGTTGAAAAAGAAAAGCTCTCAGAAATACTTAAAGTATAACTGAATGATAACCTGATACCAGAATGTGTGAAGAATTCGTATGTAACAGAGACTGCCTCTCTCACCATCTGTCCACTCAATCAGAGGTCAAGATTTGTATAAATCAAACAAGTGGGCATTCATCTCTCTGAGAGATGTTCTATGAAGCATACTTTTGGGTTTCATACCCTGCGCTGCTTTTCCCTTCTATCTCTTCACCCACCTCCACGTGATTATTCATTAATTTATTTGGTAATGAGTCAGGAATTGTGCTAGGCATTGGGGACACATACAGCTGTGAACAAAACAGAGATAGACACTGCTCTTATGGGCATATAATACCCTGGGGGAGACTTTTTTTCAAATAATTGCACTATTTTATTATAAATAAAAATTACAGAGTGCTTACAACAGTATGTAACAGGGTGTCCAAACTTGGACTATCAGTGAAGTATTACCTGAGAAAGTTAAATCTTTTGATGAGTAGTATAAATGTGGTAAATGAAAGAAGAGCATTTCAGGCAGAAGAAAGCCTGAGCTAAGTTCTTGAGTGATGAAGAAGTGTGGAATGTTGAAGAAAAAAAGCTAGAGGGGCTGGAGCACATTGAGTAAAGAAAATTGTATGAAAAGAAGTTGGAAAAATAAAGTCCAAATCATGCAGGACCCTGTAGGGACGATTTATTAAGGTGTAAGAAAGTGTTATGGATTGAATTGTGTTCCTCAAATATATATGTTGTAAATCCTAAACCCTATACATGTGGATGTAATTTTATCCGGGAATAGGGTTTTCTTTGTTATGTTAATGAGGATATATCAGTGTAGAGTGTGTCTTAAACGAATCGCTTTTGAGACACAAAAGGAGCAGATCGGGCACAGAAGCAAGCACAGATGCAGAAAGATAGATGCCACATCACATGAAGATCACCAAGGAACCGAGGAACAGAAGTTGAAAAGAGAAAAGGATCTTTCCCCAGGGGCAACAGAGAGAGAAAGCTTTCCCCTAGAACCGGTGCCCAGAATTCAGACTTCTAGCTTCCTAAACTGTGAGAAAATAAATTTCTGTTTGTTAAAGCGACCCACTTGTGGTATTTCTGTTCTGGCAACACTAAGAAACTAAGACAGAAGGGTTAATAAAAGCCAGCAAGGCTGGGTGAAACTCACTGGCACTAGTCACAGTGAAGAAACCTATGATCCCTAACTTTAAAATGGAAGGAAAAGGAATGATTCCCAGAACCTGGAAAGACTAGCTATAGGCAAGCAACGACTTCCACTGACAGGAACAATGGCCTTTGGTAGAGGAACACAGCCAACTCACCCTTCAATCTCCTGCTGGTGTCTCCCATTGGCCAAATCCAACTGGAAACCAGAGATCAACAAGTGCATTGATGCAGTGCACAAAGGTCAGCCTCTTGGGGCACAAGCAGAATGGATGAGTGAAGCGTGTCTGTAGAGAAACAGGCAAAGAATATTTACCACAATCCACTCCTTTTACTCCTCAGCATCCACTACTGAGGAGTAATCTACTCCTTATCACTTTTCCAGATAAAATATTCATGTTTTCAACATATAACAAACAAACAAGCAAAATCAAACCCACTCCCCTTGAGTCGATTCCAACTCATAGCGACCTTATAGGACAAAGAAAAACTTCCCCATAGGGTTTCCAAGGCTGTAAATCTTTATGGAAGCAGACTGTCACATTTTCTCCCACTGAGCTGCTGCTGAGTTCGAATCATCCACCTTTTGGTTAGCAGACCAGAGCTTTAACCACTGCACCACAGGGGCTCCTGTTCCCAACATAGAGAGCACAAAAATTCCCTTTAGCTACCATCTAATTGTATGGTGGTGTTTATTCAATGATTCTTCCACCTGAAACTAAAATGTGACCACTACTGGTACTCTTTATATAATGTGGTAGGTGGGGGTGGGGGTTGAGGAAAAAGAAACAAAGTCAAACATAGCTGCTTCAGTCCCTGCTTTTTTAGCTGCTTTTGAATCCTAAGTTGATAGTCATAGTTTTCTTCTTCCACAGTAAACTCCATATCCTCCTTTCCTCTCAGCATCTTAGCTGCAGGGACTTTACCCAGTGCAATAACCCAAACTTTTATCACTGCAGGATCTGAGTCCTTGGATTTCCTACATTTGTTGCAGTTTTTCTTTGATTTGGACTGTTCAGCAAGAGAGTGAAAGAGGCACCTTAGTGAACCTGTTGTGTTCCAGTAACAGTTCTCCTTGCTTCCATTGTATAGCAGCTACCCGATTTCCCCTTGGCAATCAGAATCAATCACCCCAGCCAGTGGGGTCCCAAATGTCTAGAAATCAGTTTCAGTTTCCAATTTAATGGAACCATGACTCTGTTTCCTGGTAGAAGTATTCCACACTTGAGCAGTGGAACGTCCAAACTTACCAAACCCAACATTGTGGGGACAAAAATAAATAAATAAAAATACCTTCAGTGCATTGTTAGACATAATAGTGAGAGGGTCAATTCCTACCTCTACCCATTAGTTCCTGGCTATGAGGGAGACAGATGGCACCATTTATTGACTGCTGCTTTAAGGTTTATCCTGATGGACAGCACCTCAACCTCACAGGTCTCTGTCTCCCAACTGGCACAATAAGTGAATCTTCAGGATGTCATTTCTCATATCCAATTTTAAGGATTCAATGGATCAGATAACACTATTTTCATGACATTTTGGGTAACATAGCCACTAGGTGTCCTGTGGTCAGACATTCAATCTCTACTAGGGCCCAGTAGAAGACGGGAGTGATTTTTCTAATTGAGAATAGCTGTCAGAAGAAGAGGGCATGTCCCTACTCCAGAACTTTAGAAATTTTCATTGTGATTATTCTAGATCATCTCTGTCTGCCACAGAAACTTACATTACCACTGTGGTTGCTGGTTCACAAGGCCCAAGTGACAAAGCAACTTGCACTGGAGCCTAGATCTACTATAAAGCATTTTCTTGCTTTAGGCCATACTCAAGGTTAGTAACCTTACGGGTTACCTGGTAAATGAATTGGAGGAGCAAGCCCAAGTGTGGTGTGTGTTGCCTCCAAATACCAAACAGGCCTACCATGTATTGTATCTCTTTCTTCAGAGTGGACAGCACAAGGCACAAGAATTGTTTCTTACTTTAGAGAGGATATCCTGACAGACTCCAGACCACTGGACCCTTAGAAAACATCAAAGATGTGACAGGCCACTGAACACACATGTATCTTACTAAGGCACCTACTATGCTTGCTACTTCCTGCTCACAAGGTCCAATTAACATAATATTGTCAATGTAATGGACCAAAAAGATGATCAGTGTGATATCAAGACAATCGGGGTTCAACCAAATTATAATAGAGAACAGGAACAATTATAAAGCTCTAATATAAGAAAGTACTATAGAGGCCACATGAAAGCAAACAGCTTCTAATTATCTTTGCTAGTAGGAATGAGGGAAGTAAAAGGGATTTTCTCCATAAATTGTTGCGTATTAACTGCCAGGAGCTGAGTGGATTTACCATATCCAGAACTGAAGCTGGAACTGGCCTTATGACCTGATTAAATTTGCAATAATCGACAGTCATTCTCCAAGACACATCTATCGTTTGCTTCCAGCCAAATAAAATTAAATGGCAATATGGTAGATGTTATGGGTTGGTTTGTGTCCCTCAAAAAGATATATACAAGTTTTAACTGCTTTAGCTGTAAATGTGACCTTGTTTGGATGTAATTAGCTAAGCTCACATGAGGTCATACTGGAGTAGGGTAGGCCCTAAACCAATCATACTGGAGTAGGGTAGGCCCTAAACCAATCTTACTGGTATCCTTTTAAGAAAAAGAGAAAAGACACAGAGATGCACAGACAAAGAGGTAAGATAGCTATGTGAAGACGAGTCAGAGATTAGAGTTAGGATCCTATAAACCAAGGAATGCCTGGGGCTACCAGAAGCTGAAAGAGAAAAGGAAGAATCTTCCCCTAGAGAGAATATGACTCTGCTGACACCTAAATTCGAACTTCATTCTCCAGAATTCTGAGAGAATAATTTTCAGTTGTTTTAAGCCACATAGTTTGTGGTACTTTATTACTAGGAATCTAATTAAGTAGGAAATATAATTCCTGGATCTTTGAAATCTTTGATGAAAGTACTAATCTGTGCAAATGCTTCTCTTTTTGGCAGGAGGAAAGGAGAGTGCTAGTGAATTCCACTCAGCCTTTCCTACTGTAATAACCTTTACTCCATTGGTCAGGTAACAAATGTGGGCATTTTTTCATCTATTCCCATTACATATTTTGGAACTAGGGAAATAAACAAAAAATGAATGTGAAGTCTCACTGGATCACAAGGAAACAGACCTGAGCTAAGACTTATTTTATCTTCTAGACTTGATAAGCCCACACTCTGGTAGATGGGCTATGGTGGAATATCAAGTTTCCAGGAGTAAGCAACAGTTCATAGCTAATGTCCAATAACTTCCAGAAAATCTGGGTATTTCCTCTTTATCCAGTCATCCTAGTAAATGAACTTGGATACCTCTGGGCAAGAATTAGGTGAATACTAAAAGTACACACCTGTAGCTCCATTTCAGAGTTATTTTTAAAAGGGGCCAAGCCTTCCTCAGTAAAAGTTCTTCAACTATGTGAACAGTTTTGAGTATGAGAAATGGGTGCAAGGTTGTAAACCTCAGTATGATCAAGTTAGGTTTCTGCCTAACAGACTTCAAAGTTTTCTGCCTACATTTGTCAAGCAGCACTTTTATAGGCTGCTTATTTCATGAATAAGGATGTCGTAATTAATTAGCCATTACCAGAGAATCTTGAGATACAAAACACTTTACTGTTCCAACAATGTGCTTTATTTAATATATCAATTGCTTGCACCTTGGCTGTGTTGGTTACCAGAGGCCACCTGTGATTGATCACTTAAGTACTCATTATACTTAATGCCTTGATGGGGGATATGATTAGAGTCTTGCACTTAGTATATCTGTTTCAAAATTTCCATCTCCCTAAGTCTTCAGAATCCTTTCTCTGTAGTAGGGAAGTTCTGGCATTTCAATCAGATTCAATTCCTTTCCACTGTTGAGTTCAAGCTTCAATTTAGCTGATCTCACAGATGATTAACATCATGCTTATGTGCTCAAGCCAAACTATAATATCCCCCAATCCAGATGAATGTATACATACTAATTAATTTGGCCTGATAAAGTTTTATATTTCATCCTATTTAGTCAACCCTTAGAATGCACTTCCATATACGCATCCATATTTCTGATGATATATATTATCAAGGTCTATAATTCTTTCAGCCTCAAAAAAGCATGGCATTTTTTCCTCATGGGAAACATAAGGTCTATATATCACACAAAAAGAGTTGTCTTAGTCATCTAGTACTGCTTTAACAGAAATACCACAAGTGGATGGTTTTAATGAAGTTTATTTCCTCACAGTCAAAGTAGGCTAAAAGTCCGATTTCAGGGCGTCAGCTCCAGGGGAAGGCTTTTCCTCTCTGTCGGCCTTCTTTTCAGTGTTCCCCCAGACTAGGAGCTTCTCTGCGCAGGGACCCCAGTCCAAAGGACGCACTCTGCTCCTGGCACTGCGCTCTTGATGATATAAGGTCCCATGTCTCACCGCTCACTTCTCTCTTTTATATCTCAAGAGATTGCCTCAGGACACAATCCAGTCTTGTAGATCCAGTCCTGCCTTAGTAACACAACTGCCACCCATCCTCCCTCATTAACATCATAGAGGCAGGATTTACAACATATAGGAAAATCACACAGTACCAGGAATCATGACCCAGACAAACTGATATACACATTTTTGGGGGGACATAATTCAAACCATGACAAGAGTTATATCTCAATATAACCTGGATGAAAGAATAAAAAATAAAGCATAAACATGTATATATATCAAAAGGAAGGGACATTAGAGAGGGACAGGTGGAAGATACAAGAGAAATGGGGGTCATTA